GACCAGCCCTGTCGCCCAGCCCCCCCGTGTCCCTCCTGCTCCCCCACCTGACCAGCCCTGCTCCCCCAGTTCCCACTGCAGTCTCCCTCCTCAGCCCACTTTTCCTGTCCTGTCCCACTCAGTTCCTGCATCCTACTCCCTGTGGCCCATCCCCCCACCTTGTTCACCCGTTAGCCCCCCTGCGCCCCAATCCCGTTGCCTGCACCCACCCTGGCCCATGCAGACCAGGCAGGAAAAGCCCCCAGGACTATGACCATCCCCTTGCCCCCTGGCACGTGCACCTACCCCAGGGGATCAGCAGGCTCCGGCCCCCCAGGCTGCTGTGCTGCACCCGGCAGGCGTAGCTGTGCCCGTCGCCCAGCCCCACGGCCAGGGAGCTGCGCAGCTGGTAGGTCAGGTCGGCGTTGGGCAGGATCCCGCTGGAGTTCAGCCGCCAGCCCGGCTCCACCTCCTCCCCGTCCTGCAGCCAGGCCACGCGGACGGCCCGGGGGTAGAACCCGGTGACCCGGCAAACCAGCAGCCACGGCATGGGGGGCTCGGCTGGGGGAGGCTCCCGGACAAACACTACGGCGACCGGCCGCTCTGGGACAGGGGAGAGACGGGGCAGGGGAGAGGGGACCAGTCAGCCGGAGCCACAAGGACTCAGTCTGGACCGGCTCCATGCCCGGGGTCGGACGTTGACCCGCTCCTGGCCAAGCCCAATTCTCCCCTGCTCTTCCAGTGGTGCTGGGACCCCCCTTCACTTCCTGTCCCAAACTGCACTTGTGCGTGGGGCTGAGATCCCTTCAGAAACAGCCCTGGGACCTCACTCCAGAGCTGGCTGCATTCGGGGCGTGGGGCCCGGCCTCACCTCTCCTCTCCAGGGACGCGTTCCCGTGCTGGACGAAGCTCCTGAGCTCCTGAGGGCAGGTTGATCCCAGCAGGAACTGGAGCATGACGGCCACGACCCGGTTGTAGTTCAGCACCTCCGCGGTTCTGCGCGCCAGCGGGTCCTGCCGCCGCGCCACCCACCTGCCGGTGTCCACGGCGAAGCTGACCCAGTCCTGGCCGTCCATGGCCGCGTCGCAGAACGGCCGCGCGATGCCGTTGGGGGGCTGCTCGCAGCTGGTGGAGAACTGCACCACGAAGGGGTCTGGAAGAGGGGAAGGGTTAGGGGGAGAGGGCACCCAGAGGTGAGCGAGCAATAGAGATGGGGGATAACGAGGGGACATTGGGTGCCTTAAGGGGCGCATGTAGAGTCGGATTGGCTGGGAATCTCCCTGGGGCAACGGGGAGGAGGCGGTTCCGGGGGCTCATTTGGGGTCACTCGGTCTGGGAGGCGGCGCCCGTCCCAAAGAGGCGTTGAATATTTTTAGGAAGGGAATTGGGCTGCTCTGGTGAAAACCGTGGCCTCTGCTGTGTGCCCATCCCTCCTGCCAGCTCTCCATCCTCCCTTCCCTCTGCTGTGTGCCCATCCCTCCTGCCAGCTCTCCATCCTCCCTTCCCTCTGCTGTGTGCCCATCCCTCCTGCCAGCTCTCCATCCTCCCTTCCCTCTGCTGTGTGCCCATCCCTCCTGCCAGCTCTCCATCCTCCCTTCCCTCTGCTGTGTGCCCATCCCTCCTGCCAGCTCTCCATCCTCCCTTCCCTCTGCTGTGTGCCCATCCCTCCTGCCAGCTCTCCATCCTCCCTTCCCTCTGCTGTGTGCCCATCCCTCCTGCCAGCTCTCCATCCTCCCTTCCCTCTGCTGTGTGCCCATCCCTCCTGCCAGCTCTCCATCCTCCCTTCCCTCTGCTGTGTGCCCATCCCTCCTGCCAGCTCTCCATCCTCCCTTCCCTCTGCTGTGTGCCCATCCCTCCTGCCAGCTCTCCATCCTCCCTTCCCTCTGCTGTGTGCCCATCCCTCCTGCCAGCTCTCCATCCTCCCTTCCCTCTGCTGTGTGCCCATCCCTCCTGCCAGCTCTCCATCCTCCCTTCCCTCTGCTGTGTGCCCATCCCTCCTGCCAGCTCTCCATCCTCCCTTCCCTCTGCTGTGTGCCCATCCCTCCTGCCAGCTCTCCATCCTCCCTTCCCTCTGCTGTGTGCCCATCCCTCCTGCCAGCTCTCCATCCTCCCTTCCCTCTGCTGTGTGCCCATCCCTCCTGCCAGCTCTCCATCCTCCCTTCCCTCTGCTGTGTGCCCATCCCTCCTGCCAGCTCTCCATCCTCCCTTCCCTCTGCTGTGTGCCCATCCCTCCTGCCAGCTCTCCATCCTCCCTTCCCTCTGCTGTGTGCCCATCCCTCCTGCCAGCTCTCCATCCTCCCTTCCCTCTGCTGTGTGCCCATCCCTCCTGCCAGCTCTCCATCCTCCCTTCCCTCTGCTGTGTGCCCATCCCTCCTGCCAGCTCTCCATCCTCCCTTCCCTCTGCTGTGTGCCCATCCCTCCTGCCAGCTCTCCATCCTCCCTTCCCTCTGCTGTGTGCCCATCCCTCCTGCCAGCTCTCCATCCTCCCTTCCCTCTGCTGTGTGCCCATCCCTCCTGCCAGCTCTCCATCCTCCCTTCCCTCTGCTGTGTGCCCATCCCTCCTGCCAGCTCTCCATCCTCCCTTCCCTCTGCTGTGTGCCCATCCCTCCTGCCAGCTCTCCATCCTCCCTTCCCTCTGCTGTGTGCCCATCCCTCCTGCCAGCTCTCCATCCTCCCTTCCCTCTGCTGTGTGCCCATCCCTCCTGCCAGCTCTCCATCCTCCCTTCCCTCTGCTGTGTGCCCATCCCTCCTGCCAGCTCTCCATCCTCCCTTCCCTCTGCTGTGTGCCCATCCCTCCTGCCAGCTCTCCATCCTCCCTTCCCTCTGCTGTGTGCCCATCCCTCCTGCCAGCTCTCCATCCTCCCTTCCCTCTGCTGTGTGCCCATCCCTCCTGCCAGCTCTCCATCCTCCCTTCCCTCTGCTGTGTGCCCATCCCTCCTGCCAGCTCTCCATCCTCCCTTCCCTCTGCTGTGTGCCCATCCCTCCTGCCAGCTCTCCATCCTCCCTTCCCTCTGCTGTGTGCCCATCCCTCCTGCCAGCTCTCCATCCTCCCTTCCCTCTGCTGTGTGCCCATCCCTCCTGCCAGCTCTCCATCCTCCCTTCCCTCTGCTGTGTGCCCATCCCTCCTGCCAGCTCTCCATCCTCCCTTCCCTCTGCTGTGTGCCCATCCCTCCTGCCAGCTCTCCATCCTCCCTTCCCTCTGCTGTGTGCCCATCCCTCCTGCCAGCTCTCCATCCTCCCTTCCCTCTGCTGTGTGCCCATCCCTCCTGCCAGCTCTCCATCCTCCCTTCCCTCTGCTGTGTGCCCATCCCTCCTGCCAGCTCTCCATCCTCCCTTCCCTCTGCTGTGTGCCCATCCCTCCTGCCAGCTCTCCATCCTCCCTTCCCTCTGCTGTGTGCCCATCCCTCCTGCCAGCTCTCCATCCTCCCTTCCCTCTGCTGTGTGCCCATCCCTCCTCCTGCCAGCTCTCCCTCAACACTGTCTGTCTCACCAGTATCAATCCTCTCCTGAGATGTCTCATCTCTCGATCCCTCCCCAGACCTTTAGTTGGCTGCAAAGGGAGCATGTGATGCCAGTGTAAACTAGACTGGGTTTCACATTGGATTAGCTGACGGGGGCTGTTCCAATGTGGAACTCCCTGGCGAGTGGGTGTTCAGGGAGCCCCTCGGAGCCGATCTGCACAGATCACAAGTTCTTCCAGCCCCCGGCTCTCCTCGCTCAGGTTGCAACAACTGGTACTTTTCACTTTGGGCGCCTGGTTCACTCTGCAGGCTGCCGGCCACTAAAATCTTCTCACCAACTTGAAGTGTGGAAGGGGCCGCGGCGACCCCCTGGTCTGACCCCTGCACATCGCAGGCCCCAGAACCTCACCCTCCGCTCTTGTTTTTTCATTCCAACGAAGCTGTTGCAGAAATTCCCTCCGGCTGCCAGAGACCGACCCCAAATAGAGACGTGTCTTCCCAGAAACCAGGTGAGTTTGCGGCGCAGTTCAGGGACGCGGCGCTGTTCATCTGATCAGAATGACTGCGTGTGTCCAGCATCTGGGATGGCAGGTCTGCCCTTGGGATAGACGTCCCAGTGTGCAGAATGGACCAATTAATTGGCTGGTCTGGGTCTGGGAAGTGAAGGTTGGGTGGATTTACAAATGTAAGGCTGTGGAATGGACGGACGGGTCTGTCCTCGATGGATCGACAGGTGGATGGAGCTGGGACTGGAGGATGGATGGATGGACGGATCGATGGGTGGGTCAACAAAGGTAGATCAGAGAACGGATGGAGCTAGGATCTGAGGATAGTGCTGGGACTGGAGGATGGATGGATGGACAGATGGATGGAGCTAGGGTGAGAGGGTGGAGGGACACATGGATGCACAGAGGGAAAGGTGAAGGGAGGAGAATCCAGGAGCAGAGCATCTGAGGATAGTGGAGGGAGGGAGAGGGCTTGGATCAGAGTGTGGATGGATGAATGGATGGATGCACAGAGGAAGGGGTGGATGGATGGAGGGAGGAGAATCCAGGAGCGACAGATGCTGCTACTACACTAGAGGGAGGTGAAAGTTTTGCCCTGCACACACCACACAGCGGCTGCTGCTCTCCCCAAAGGCCAGGGCGGGTCTGTCCTGACACTCGGAGCAGCCTGGTGTGTGACGCGGGTTCTCTCATCCCCAGATGCTCTGAGCGTCTCCCAGCAGCCTTGGTCCCTCAACCTGACGGCCGGGGAGAACATGACCCTGAGCTGTATCTTTCCAAACACCGATGGCAGCAGAGCCCGGGTGCTTTGGATCTGGGGATCCAGAGATGATGCGTTGCTGGATTCTCACCACCCCTTCTACCAGAGGCGGTTCCAGGTGTCCCTCTGCTAATAGCTCTGGCCAGCCTTTTAAATTTGAAGTTAACTAGATCCTCTCTGGAGGAAGTGGATCTACAGGCCAGGGATAGGAAGAGGTGGGTGGGAAGACATTAAAACCCAGCGGTGCCCCAGATTTTCAGGAGCCCCTATGCAGCTGCATATTTCACTTACAGGTAAGGCCAAACCTGCTCCTGCCAATTTCCTTCTAAAGATTCCTTAAATTTAACTCTTATCTATTTCAGGAATAACCCCAAACTTTTGCAATTCAACATTCTTCCATTTGCACTAATCAAAAGCATCCTCAATGGGCATTTCATTGTACACACTTGGGCCGTGTCCAGACTCAGGGTTTTTTTCGGGAAAAGTAGCCTTTTCCCGAAAAAACTTCCCCTGCGTCCAGACTCAAGCCGTGTTCTTTTGAAATTATTTCGAAAGAACGCGGCTTTTCTTTCGATGGCGGTAAATCTCATTTCACGAGGAAGAACCTCATTTCAAGAGGAAAACCTCTTTCGAAAGAAGGCGTTCTTCAATGTAAAGAGGCCGTCTTCGAAAGAGAGCATCCAGACTCGCTGGGTGCTCTCTTTCGAAACAGCGGATTTCTCTTTCGAAAGATCCGCCTGCAGTCTAGACGCGATCTTTTGAAAGAGGCTCTTTCGAAAGATGCTTTCGAAAGAGCCTCTTTCGAAAGAAGCCTGCAGTCTAGACATAGCCTTGGAGCTTTCTCAGTTAATTTTGCGGCCAGGGTAGGAACTGTCTTGGTGTCAGGAACTTCTTCTAAGGTAGTCAAATACTCAGCAATATCTTCTGTCTTATGTGGGCGAATTAAAAATGGTCCCAATGGTGGATTTTTGGGGATCACTGGGGTAGGTGAATTCTGGTTTGGCTTCTCCAGGAAGTCGGAATGTTATTTTCACCCTCTTTCTCTTTCTTCTCCCTTATTTCCTTCTCCCTTGTCTTCAGTTCTCCCGTTTCAATATTCTCCAGTGCTCTCTTTCTTTTTCTGCAGCGTGCAGTCTGAAAAACGTTACGATGGCTTCGCTGCTTTCTCTCCTTTTCCTGCTTCTCTGCCCCTACATCCCTTTCCTGAAAGAAGCACATTGAAAATAACCAACCAGTCACCTCTGCCTGACTGGATATGTCTAGACTGCTCTACAAAATTATAAAAAAAGATACACAAATTGTGTACCTTATTTCAATTTTATTTTGAAATAGGCTATTTTGAAATTTGATGCAGCTACACGGCACCAAATTTCAAAATATAGCATTATTTCAAAACACTCCTTATTCCTCGTGGAACGAGGTTTATGGGGATGTCAAAATAGCCCATCTGTTATTTTGAAAATTATTTCAAAATAGCAGACGTGTCCCTTGGACATAGGGTAGCT